GAAGCAGATGGTTCATCATTTCCTGGGCTGTTAAACAAAGCGAGGTTAAGGTTAGACTCTTCGGAATCAGCTAGTTTTCAATCTTATTAGGGTGCAGAAGGAAAACTAATAAAACCTCCTAATGTCATTTTGTGATTGTAAACAAGGATTTCTTAGCAAACAATTGATCCCAGAAGGGCAAATTGTTTGAGTCAGTAATGAGCTGAGAAAAGACAGAGCATATTTGTGTATTTGGAAAAATAATTGTAACGTAATTGCAGTATATGTAAATAGGCATTTATTTGGACCTGTTTCTATTTCTAAATGAATTTTTGGAAACATTAATGAGGTTTACTTATTCCTCTGACGTTTATGTAGTTCTATGTCCATTTCCGTTGCCCAGCTGTTGGTGATTAAGGTAAAAAAGAAAAGAGTTACAGTGAGAATCAGATTCACTTCATTGTAAGGCTCTAAAGCAGAACACAAACTTGGCCTATTCTAGGTAGTTCCAAGTAGTATTTTTGTTGTCAAACTTTATGTTTAATTTCTATTATTTGCAAATACGTGTTTCTGCATAGAACTTTTTTGAAAATTTGTTTTATCCAAGATATATATTTTAAAAATTTCATTGATATAGAGAAGGGCCTTATTTTTAAATATTTCAGTGAAAGCAGTGTAAGTCTGAACCCATCTTTTTTTTTTTTTTGAGAGTTTTTTGCTATAGGGCACATGCGCTCGCCAGACAGAGAGAGACAGAGAGACAGAATGCGAGAAATCATCCCCCAGGGGGGATGGTCAAGCCACAATCCCTTCTCCATTCTCCTCTTGGGATCTTGGGCATGCACGCACACGCGCCCAGTGTGAGTTTTAAGCCACCAGGTCCAGGACTTGAATCGCAGTTGACTACATGGGAGTCCAGCGACATAGCCATTACGCCAACTGCTGGTCTCTGAACCCGTCTTTTGAAATGTATTTTCTTCATTGCAGGTCCATCTAGTCATCTTGTGAAAGTCATTTCTCTATGGAAAGCTTTGTTTGCTTCCTACAAATACAAGCTTATCCCCTAAGGGATATGTTATAATCGTTGTAGACATGTTACTGAGTATGGATTTTTCTGTTTCGTTTTAAAAAGAACTTGTCTGTGTATCCTTCACTATTTTGCTTAGGATGCTGAGTTTTTGTCTCCTTGTGTAGTAGTCTGAAGAATCCCCACCCTCTTTTAAAGCAGGCCCAGTGGCTGTTTATGAGCAGTTTGAGTTCTTCGGTAATCTAAACCTGTTATTTTTGTGCCATCTAATAAATGAGAGATTCAGAACTCTTAAAAAAATAGTTACTTTTTACCGTAGATGTGTGTGCTCACTAGGGAGAGACAGAAAGAGAAAGGGAAAGGGAGAAACTACCCTGCTTAGGGGCATGAGCACACTGCGATTTCTTCTCCTTCATTCTCTCAGGATTTTGAATATGCATGCAAACCCTCCCAGACTGAGTTTCAAGCTGCCAGGTCTGGGACTTGAACCACAGTTGGCCAAGTGGGAGGCCAGCACCTTAACCATGACACCACCTGTTGGTCCCAGAGCACTGTGTATCTTTCATCATTCTTTTACTTTAAACTTATGTGTGTCTTTCTGTTTAAGCTGTGCTTCTTGTAGACAACTGTCCCTTTTATTTTTAATTTGCTATAGGCCGTGTGGGCACAGTAGAGAGAGAATTAATAACGTAGAGTGCCAGAAGAAAATAATATTCGGAAACAGAGTTACAGAACATGAGTTAAAGGGACTACTGTAGACAGGTTTGGCATGTAATTTTGGAACAAAAGAAGGGGACAGACACATGAAGGCTTTATGCAATATCTAAAGAAATAACAGCCAATAATTTCCAAAAGTGGATGAGAAAAAGCACATTATAGAGGTCTCTTTCTCACTATACAAGATGGCAGGCGAAAAAGCTGCAAAGCAGGATACTAAGGAGAAGAAACCTGAAGCCAAGAAGGCTGATGCCAGTGGCAAGATTAAAAAGGGTGACTCCAAAGCTAAAAAGCCCAAGAAGGGGAAGCCTCATTGCAGTTGAAACCCTGTCCTAGTCTGGGGCATTGGCAGATACTCCTGGTCTGCCATGTATTCCAGGAAGGCCACGTACAAGAGGAAATACTCTGCCACTAAATCCAGGATCAAAAAGAAAAAGAAGGAGAAGGTTCTTATGACTATCACAAAATCAGTTGTTGGAGACAAGAATGGTGGTACCCGGGTGGTTAAACTGCACAAAATGCCTAGGTATTATCCCACTGAAGATATGCCTCGAAAGCTGTTAAGCCACAGCAAAAAAACCCTTCAGTCAGCATGTGAGAGAGCTGCGAGCCAGCATCACTCCTGGGACCATTCTGATCATCCTCACTGGATGCCACAGAGGCAAGAGAGTGGTTTTCCCGAAGCAGCTGAGCAGTGGCTTGCTACTTGTAACTGGACTGCTGGTTCTCAATCGAGTTCCACTGTGTAGAACACACCAGAAATTTGTTATTGCCACCTCCACAAAAATTGATATTAGCAAAGTAAAAAATCTCAAAAGCACCTTACCGATACTTACTTCAAGAAAAAGAAACTGCGGAAGCCCAGACACCAGGAAGGTGAGATCTTTGACACAGAGAAGGAGAAATACGAGATTTCAGAGCAGCGAAAGATTGATTAGAAAGTTGTGGACTCACAAATTTTACCAAAAATCAAAGCTGTTCATCAGCTCCAGGGCTACCTGTGATTCGTGTTTGCCCTTACAAACGGAGTTTGTCTTCACAAATTGGTGTTCTAGATTTTTTGCCAAGAACCTAATTAAATAACTGATCATATATATATATATATATATATATATATATATATATATATATATATATATATATATATATATATATATATATATGTGTGTGTGTGTGTGTATACAAGGACATTATAAATTTTAGAAGCAATTCCAAACCCAAGTGAAATCAAAACAAAGAGAAACATACCTACATAAGACTGCTGGACGCCAAACTCAAGCAAACCTTAGAGCTTTCAGAAGCAAGAGAATCCAAAAGACTAAAAAGAAGCTGACAACTGACCTCTCTACAGAAGGAGGGAGCATCTGGCATAGAAAAATGTAGTTTGTGGAATCCTTGCTCCAGGATCACAGAGCGATCACACAGTGGGTAGAAGCTGAGAGAGAATAGAATAACAAGAGGTGCAGATAACAAATATGTATCATGCAAATACTAAGTAGGAAGGAAGCTGATGTGGCTAGTAATGCCAGACAAAGTGGAGTTTAAGACTTAACGCTGAAGGAAAAAGCAGTAATATTTCCTATGATGAAAGGTAAAGTTTATTGGGATCATGATAAAGCAGTTATCAATTTATAAGCATTTAGTGATGCAACCTCAAAATTGATAAAGCAAAGTAGTAAGAAAAGGGGCCCCTAGGTAGCATCGACTGCCACATGGCTGACCACGGTTGAAGTCCCGGACCTGACAGCTTATTTTCTTACTTTCTCTCACTGGTGAGTGCACATACCCTGTAGCAAATTAAAAAAAAGAAAAAGAAAAAGAAAATGAATATTTTTTAAAAAAAAATCAGGAAATCAGAGATCTAGCACAAAATTATTTATATAAATGTAAGAATCTCATACACAAACATGACACACCTGTTGAGTACATATCTCCAAGGACACAAACAAAACAGCCCAGTGCATGTCTGTGGTGAGGAAACTGGGACTCGAGTGTGGAGAAACTATGAAATCAAGTGAGAGGAGACCTTATTATTATTATTTGTTTTTGGAGAGTTTTTTTTCGCTATAGGGCGCGTGCGCTCGCCAGACAGACAGAGAGAGACATAGAGACAGAAAGCGAGAAATCACCCCCCAGGGGGGATGGTCACGCCGCAATCCCTTCTCCTCCATTCTCCTCTTGGGATCTTGGGCACGCATGCACACGCACCCGGCGTGAGTTTTAAGCCACCGGGTCCGGGACGTGAACTGCGGTCGACTACGTGGGAGTCCAGTGACATAGCCATTACGCTAACTGCTGGTTCCCGAGAGTTCCCTTTTCACCTCCCCCTTGCTAGCACTTAACATTTTTTTTTTTTTTTAACCTTAGCCATTCTGACTGGGGTTTTGTGGTATGTCATTGTGGTTTTGATTTGTATCTTCCTTATGATGAGAAATGTTGAGCGTTTTTTACTGATGATCAGAGCCTGGTTAGAAGGGAGGTGCTCAGTTAACTCAATTTCTGCTCTCAAGCACCAGAGAAGAAAGAAAATACAGGAAAACTAGACCAGGTATAGCTACATCATGTATTTAGTAAATTTATCGAGTTTAAAATGAAAGATCACGGTAAAATGACAATGTGTTTCTGAGGAAAGGTGGCACCTGTATGTTCAGTCAGACTCCTGGAGTTGCTGGAACCCTTAATTTTCCTGGTGTGAGAATCCATAGTTCACCTGTCTGAGAGAGCTGAGGCTGGTGTACTCTGAGGAACTGGGAACTCGTAGGAAGGAGGACATTCATATCAGCGAGGGAGGGGAACACACAGGGCCCAGAAAAACCAGAGAAAAGCAGGCCTCCACAGAGACTGGTCAGACCCTAAGTGGACAGGAGAGTGACAACGGAGAGGGAGCTTCCTGTGAGCTCTGGACTGAACTTTTCAGGGACCATGGCTTCCTGGATGCTGGAGTGAAGAGCTGTCCCCTGCTTGGGTGCTGACGTCCACTGGGAGAGGCTCTAGGACGTGAGGAGCTGTCTGCTGCTCCGATGCTGATGCCCCCTAGGAAAGAAGAATGAAAGTCCACCTCTAGGGTCTCTGGCAAGTTCTTTCCCTGCTGACTGTGATGATGCTCACTCATAACTATCCTGTGCTCCTGACAGCTGAACTCAGTGAGATGGGCAAGAGAGAAACTTGCTGACTGCACAGGGGCGAGGGAGCTGTGGCCCACCCTGTTTGGAAGTGTTGTGAGTGAGCAGAGTGGAGAGGGGAAGGACATGGCCATTCTTCCTCTGACAGGCAGCACTCAGGGGTTTCCTAGGGCCTGGAGGAGTTTGGCCAGGGCCTCCTTAATCTCGCGGTTTCTCAGGCAGTAGATGATAGGGTTGAGCAGAGGTGTCACCACTGAGTAGACCACAGACACCAACTTGCCAAGGTCGAAGTTGCTGACAGCGTGAGGCTGTGCATACATGAAGATGGTGGTGGTGTAGAAGATCGCCACCACCACCAGGTGGGAGGCACAGGTGGAGAAGGCCTTCTGGCGACCCTTGCCTCCTGGAATTCTCAGTACTGTGGCCAGAATATGGGCATAAGAGACAGTGGTCATCAGTAGGGAGGTCACCAGCACTGCCAGCGCAGCCATAAAATTCAGAATTTCAATGGTGGTCGTGTCAGAGCAGGAGAGCTGCAGCAGAGGTGAGATATCACAGAAGAAGTGGTTGAGGACATTGGGGCCACAGAACCTTAGTTTGGAGGAGAGAGCTAGGGACACAAAGGAGGCCAGGAAGCCACTGAGCCAGGCACTGAGGGCCAGGAGCAGGCAGAGCCTTGAGTCCATGATGGCTGGATAGTGCAGTGGGCGGCAGATGGCAAGGTACCGGTCACAGGCCATGGTGGCCAGGAGGAAGCACTCAGAGGAGCCAAGCGAGTGGAAGAGGAACACCTGCGTGAGGCATCCGGAGAAGGAGATGGCCTTTTCCTGTGCCAGGAGGCCAGCAAGTAACTTGGGGACAGTGACTGAGGTGTAGAGAGTTTCCAGCACAGACAAGTTGGCAAGGAAGAAGTACATGGGAGTGTGTAGTTGACGGCTGGCTCGAACAATCACCACGATGACCAGGTTCTCCAGGATGGTCACCACATAGATGACCAGGAATGACCCAAATAGCAGTCCTTGAAGGTGGCTCAGCTCTGGGAAGCCCAGCAAGATGAACTCTGTCACTAAGGTGTCATTGGAGTTGCTCATGTCTCCCTCTGGCTGTGGCTATCTCTTCTGAACACCCTGAAACAGCAGAGAGATTCAGGAGTGGTGTGCGTTGGGGCCAGGTCTCTGCTCCTATGGAGAGAGCTAGTAATGTACTGTAACCCATTTGTTTGGTCTGAAAGGTGGGGGACTGCCACATTTGTGTGGCTGCTGAGGACCTAGGGAACTCGCTGCTGAGGCTCCCAGGGCTGACCAAGTACATGGTCAGGGAGAGAACAACATGGCAGTTGTGTACCCTGGACCTGCTTCAATACAATCTGTATTTCTCACACTAGCCCAACATGCTCACTTCTCCATATATAACACATGGCCAAGGGGCCTTTCGGGCTGTACACAACAAACATGCTTATACATCCCTCTTACTTCCATACTCTTGTATACACACTCAGGTATGTAATCTTCCCTAAGTGAACAAGTGCATGGCTGTGTGTGATTGTACACACACTTGCATGAATACACACACACTCCATGCATGCACAAACTCCCAAGATGCACACACACACACACACACACACAGTGCACACACAGAATTGAGTTACACGCACATACACAGCATGAGGGAGAACACATTCTGCCTGCTGTGCCTGCTTATGGGCTGTGTGTCCCGGGTATTTCCCTGTCCTCATCCCTGTTGGCCCCAGGATGTAGCTGGTTCATGTTCTTCCTTTTGGCTGGTGACAGCTGAGCCACTCTGTAAGGTGAACAAAGCTTTCAGGGGGTATTGCCGTGGGGAGGAAGCTTTCTCCATTTTTGATGCCCTGACATGGGCCCAGCCTTGAGCTGAACTGGTATCTTTTCCCTATGATTCCTGAGCAGCAAAGTGGCCCTTTGGAAATGAGTGGGAGCTGTCAACACAAATCTCTAATGGGCTTGTGTGGTTTGGGAGTTTGGTGCCAGAACATGCCTGTATGTGGGTGTCTGAGGGCACATGAATAGATAGTGGAGGGAGTGGGCTTGATCAGAGGCCAGATAAAAGGTCCTTGTTGACCAGGTGGGTGTGGATGGGAGGCTCCTGGCCCTCCAGTTGCAGTAGCGGTTCCCAGAACCTGTTAGAGGAATAGAGTCTCTTACCCCTCCCTCGCATCCAGTCGCCTGGGTTTGTCTGTAGCTGGACAGAAAGAGGCAAAATCCTGTGGACATGTGAACTTATCTGGTGACACACAAGCCATTTCTTCACCTTTCTCCTCTGCACTCACAAGGGCTGAGATGGCATTGATCCTGGCTCACCTGGAAAAGTGAATTCAATGAACCAGGGCAGAGCAGGGCTGCCTCAGAGACTCCCAGTGATAATAATGGCTGCTCAGCCCTGTCTCAGTGACCTGGGAGGGAGCTCTGGGGGTCAGGAGGATAAATGAAAAATGGAGCAGTGCTGCAGGAAAGCTCTATTGCCACCATACCTCCCAGTACTGGGAGGGAGGCTATAGCAGGTACTGGGTCAATAACTCTCTGGGCTGAAGGTGCACAGGCTGGGGTATCTCGACTGAAGGCTGTCCCCCACATCCCCTGTCAGTACACTGCATAGACAGGGATGCAGCTGGAGGAGGTGGAGCCTGAAAGAAGCTTCAGAGCTGAGTAGGACCCAGGTGTTGCCGGCTTGGACTCCCAGGCTTGAGAATTCGTAGACTAAACCTGCACACCCTAGACAAGCCAGGGCTGCTGCCCAGTGCTGACCTCTGCTGGCTGCTCAGGAGAGAACAGATGTTACTGGTGCTTCAGGGCTGGAGGATTCCCTATGCCTGGGTCCTGTTGCTTGAGTCAGCCAGCCCTCTAGAAAGAGTTACATGATACCAGGAAGTTGTTGTCTTCATAGCCTTCCCCAGATCATTGGCCACAAGACCAAGGTCATGGCAAGTCCTACCTCTCTACATTGAAGGTGCAAGTTCTGTGCTGTATCTCTGCATGTCCCTGAGAGGGGCTCTGTGGGGAAGCATCCTGCATCTCACCTGTTTCCTGCTGTCTTTGGCCCCAGGTGATTTTATCAGGCTCCTCAGTGCATTGCTCTCCCAACCCTGTCTCTGCGTCCCAGCCTGGAGCACTGTAATTGCAAAGTTTGATTCCAGTGGGACTCTCAGGGCAATTTGTGGAGGCGCTCTGCAGTTCCAGGGAGAGAACCTGTACCTGGGACTGGGCTCAGCTGGAAGGTCTTCCCACATTCTCCTCATAGACAATGAGGGCGTTCCATGGAACCTCCTTCCCAGGTGCCCTGTCCAAGTTCTACCCACTGGGGACAGGTGCCAGCCTTATGGCTTTTCTCCTGAGGTTGGAAGGTGTTGAATGCCAGCCAATAGCTTTCAGAACACTCATTTTATCTCTTTTGCAAGCAATGCATTTATTTGTTTATTTAGAAAATAACATGGTAGACACTTATACACCACCCTGAACACAAGGCCTAAACAATTTCTAACAAATGACTTGGGTTCTTGCCCTATCTCACTCTGCACTCCCCCTCAGAGCTCTCACTGGGATTCTGCTGCTGTTTAAAGCATTTTAATTACATGGAACTCAAGGCTTAATTTGGTTTGTATTAAAAATTTGTAGCAAAGGGCATCGTGCTCTGTATTTTTTTAGTTGCCAGAGGGCACATGTGTTAATGAGAGAGAGGGAGAGAGAGAGACAGAGAGAGCCCACAATTGGATATGGTCACAGCAAAATTCTTTTCCATTTCTCTACACCATGTTGGGCACCCCTACATATGTGCCTGGCATGTTTCTCAAGCTATTGGGGCTGGGATTTGAACCACGGTTGGCCATGTGGGATCCAGTTTCCTGTGCACTGTGCTACTGGGTCAGCCTTCTATGTTTTTCATGTTATTATGATTCTTTTTACTCTTCTCAGCAGCTGTACTTCATTTGGTACCTTTGTCATGTTCCATTGTATGACCTCACCACATTCACAAACCTGGCCCGTGTTCGTGGGCATTTGCATAGTTTCCAGCCCTTGGCGTCATGAGCAGCACTGCTGTGACGCTCCTGTGCAGAAATCCTCCTGGCTTCTGGAATCTGTGTGGGACCAGCAATTAGCATAATGGCTATGTCACTGAACTCCTATGTAGTCGACCACGGTTTAAATCCTGGACCGGTGGCTTAAAACTCACGCCGGGCGCGTGTGCGTGTGTGCCCAAGATCCTGAGAGGAGAATGGAAGAGAAGGGACCTGCATATCTCTGCTTCTGTGTGATGCTGACTTCATTTTGCCCGTTTTCCCCAGTAATGTCTTTCTTTACTCATCAATTTGCAGGAGTTCTTTATGCATTTCTTTCTTTTTAGTTTGCCAGCGGGTCCATGCACTTGAAATACATGCTCAGTGTGTTTCTCATGCTGCCAGGTCTGGGGCTCGAACAGCACAGTTAGCCATGTGGGACCCATTCAACCCAAAACACGCCATGGGCTACTCTCCAATTAATTCTTCTCTTTTCCTTTCTGTTTCTTTCTTTCTTGCCTTCCCTTCTTTTTTAGCTTTCTTTTTTCTTTTCCTTCTTTTCTTCCATCTTTTTCTTCTTTCCTTCCGTCCTTCTCTCTCTTTCTGTTTTATGTGTATTTTAGACAAGGTCACAACTGTCTTGATTCTCCTGCCTCCTCTCTGTTTGTAGATCCAAATCTCCATCTGGCATCCCTTTTCTTTTCCTGGAAAGATTTTCTTTAATGTATATATAGAAATCCCCCCCGAGGGGTATGGTCACGCCGCAATCCCTTCTCCTCCATTCTCTTCTCGGGATCTTGGGCACGCACGCACACGCGCCCGGCGTGAGTTTCAAGTCACTGGGTCCAGGACGCAAACCACGGTTGACCACGTGGGAGTCCAGCAACATAGCCATTACGCTAACTGCTGGTTCCCTTTAATACATATTTTTAAAAGTTGATTTCTTTCATGACAGTGACAGAAAGAGAGAGAAAGGTTAGAACCATCATAGGCTAGATCATGCTATGATCCCTCCCCGTGCCCCGTCAGCCAGGATCATGTATGGACAGGTCAAACTGTGATCTTCAGTATGGACTCAGCTTCGCTCGAGC